GCAGGTACATTTATGGCAACCATTAGGATAAACCTGCAAAGCTTCTGCATCCAGTTCAGCCTTTTAGTGTTCCTGGGTTCAGCTCAAGACCCTTTTATTGCTTCTTAGAATTAGCTGCCTCCTGCCCTAAAAATCCTATGCAGGTGTGCCATCATCACCCGCAAACTATACCCCTCTGATCTGACTGTCATTCTCTTTACTAACTGAATAGGAATGCTCTTTCTATAAATTATCTAGTTTTAAGACCTAGTTACTACTAAAGCTTTAAACCAGTGACTGGATTGTACCCCTTTGGACCACAGCTCTTCTCTTCAAGAGAACGTTTTGCATGGAGGAGCATTCAGTCATGTGATTTGCAGCTGACATAATGAAGCCCAGATACAGGTTTATTCCCTCAAGGAGAATTAGGTCTAGGTGTGGATGTAACACAGACAGGGAAGTTCACACACATGAAATAGCTTGCTAGGCCAACACAACAAATGCGCACAAAGAATAGTATGATACATGTGGGAAAATTGTTACATGCAACAATCACATGTCCATGTGTTTCCCAGCACATACACATACATACAACCATCACACATTTTGATCTGCATGAGGATTTCATGGTATTCTTTTTTTTTTTTTAAGTGTTTGCTATGCAGGCATGTACAATGCATGCCACAACAAAAACCATAATTCGTTTCAGTGAATTCTGCTTCCATTTAACATCTTTAGGATCCCAAATTAATATACAGTGTTGCCAATATACTGCAAAGAAGGATCTATTGGAACCTTGAACAATTAGTAAAATAAATAAACCACAGGAAAAACAAAGTGAAATAAATTGCACACCGGTTTGTTGTTAAATACAGATGCGCAAAATCTAACGCTGAATGACCAGTTTCCTCTGATTCACTCAGAGACTGTGAGTAGTTTGTTCATCTAAAGAATACACATTTGAACATTTATTTGCAGTTTGAACACTTATGGCCAACACATGCCATTTCTTTGATTTGGGCAATCAACATAAAAGAATTATTGATTTTGGCAAATGTTACAAACAATGCTAATTAGGGTGCAAATTTAATGCACAGTTAGCACTGTTGACAGCTAAAAGGCTCGTATGCTCATTTCAATACATTTCCCAGCTTATTTTGCAGACAGTAAGAAACATATGCATGGTCAAAGGCTTACACAAACATAAGAGATGCAATTTTTAAATACAAGTTTTTGTTAATATTATAGAATCTCTTTTGAGGTTTACTCCAGGAAGCATGTGAAACAGACCATTTTAAAAACAATTACAACCCTAATCTTTTGAACTCTGAATGAAAAGCTCCCCCCCCCATTAAGTGCAAGACAAAAAAGCAAGTCCCTTTAAATTTATGAAAAAAATCAGGTCAGATTTCAAATGATTATTAATTATAGTCCTTCTTTAGATGTCATAGTAGTGTCTAGATGAACTCTGAATGAAAAGCTCCCCCCCCCCCATTAAGCGCAAGACAAAAAAAAGTTCCCTTTAAATTTATGAAAAAATCAGGTCAGATTTCAAATCATTATTAATTATAGCCCTTCTTTAGATGTCATAGTAGTGTCTAGAGTTCAGGGAAATGAAAAACATTCTGCATTGGAAAAACATTCTGCATTGGGGCTCAAAGAAGCCTAATTTATTTCACGTTAAAGTCACTGGAAAAGATGCTGGGAGAGAGTTATGAATGCCCCAGCTGGGAAGCTGATATGCTCAATGTGTGCAATAATGTTTACCTGAACATTGTGACAAAGTGTCCCCACCAGGAGTTCTTTCCCAGGTAATTACTTTTGCCTTCCAGAAGAAACTATTCTCACCTACACAGTTTTAAGCTATCAAAATCAATGGCAATCAGATTGTACATCTACATTAACTAACTTGGTTTGGGACAGGATATGGTCTTCCCCATCTATCACATCACGTCCTCTCAACATCCAAGCTCAAAGTTATAATCTATTGACAAGGTGGTACCTTACCCCAGCTAGATCACACAAAATTTCTAACCAATATTCATCCCTTTGTTGGCAGTCCTGTGGGGAAGAGGGCACCTTTTTACACTGCTGGTGGTCTTGTATTAAAGTTCAACCTTTTTGGTCTAAGATTCTTATGTATATTAATAATACCACAGGTTATGATCTTCCTCAGCTCCCAGAATTTATCTTATTAGATCTATGGTGTGACTCACATATACTGAAAATTCACTGTGAACTAATTTCAATCCTACTAACAGCAGCAAAGGTTGTTATAGCAAGTAACTGGAAATCCACCAATAAACTGTCAGTTTCATACTGGTATTCGAAAATATGGAATTACTATGCAATGGACAAAATTTCCGATAAAGTTGTAAAATATAATGTTTCTAGTCCTAACCACTCTGAATTTCAGTTGAAATTGTTTCCTTTCTTATAAACAGTTTTTAACAATGGTAATTTATCTTGTTATTCTGTACCAAAGAAATATTAAGAGGTTTTTCATATTATGTAATTTGAACTGCATCAGTTTATTAGTTCTTCGTTATTATGATGTTTTTCATATATACATGTTTACTTGTTAAGTTATAAAACTCAAAATAAAGAAAAAATAATTTTAAAATGTTTAAGAATGGCACAGTTGCTGGCTCCTCCCATAATTTGGATTCCACACACAGCTCCAATAACATTTGAACAACAGAATTTCATGGGGGGAGGGGTATATTACCCGGCAAAGTTCCCCATGAGCCCTTCATGATATTTTGTTCAGCCACAGTGGGATGCTTTAACCACATTCCTGCATTAAAGGAGAAATCAGCCCCAGAAGTCCAACTCAAGGTCTTAGCATAATTGTCTTGATCTCACAGTCATTGGGCAGTTATAATACTGTTGTCTCTAAGCACTCCAAACATGCTACTTAGTCACTAGGTTTGTTCAGGTTTGAAGACAAGATGCTTAAAGCTAGGAATACAATAAAACAAACATGTCAGCATCAGTTTTGGCATGCAGGAGCTGCATTATAATCTGTCAGAAGCTCGTAAGTCAAAATAAACCCATGGGTAACCAAATCTTCAGGTTAAAACTGAGAAAAGAAAACATCAAGTTAGGACAGGATGTAGCATAGAAAGAACCAAAGGTGCATACTTTGGCCTGGTTCAGACATGCAAAAGGAAGAGGTGGCAGTGATCAGAGCCCTGAGGTGGTAGAAGGGACTGTCCCACTTCATGCTGCAGGTGATAGATTCTGGCTTTGAATATTCCTTTACATAAAAACTCAAATAGAAAACTAGGAATGCATGGAGAATGCTTCCCGCTTCCCTTTGTGTACTGTGCTGGTTTCCCATTTCTATGATATGGGAGCATTCCCAAATGTGATTGTTCACCATCAGTCTGTTATTCTATCACCTCATTCCCTTGCATATGTGAACCAGGTCTACGACAGCATTGAGAAGTTAGGCAGGTTGTAGAAAGGTAAAACAGAAAAGGAAGGAAGGCTCTATAAAATCATCATACATAGTAAATCTACAAAAACCAGGAACACTGCAGAGGCAGAGTGTCCGGTCTGTTCAGGTTGTTTTGAAATTAAGGGTGCCTAGCAAGGTGCTCGGGTTTGATGAAAACTCAAGAGTAACAGTATGAATGCTCCAAACCAGACAACAAATTGGCAAATAAGTTCCATTCTAACTAAATGAAGAATATTACACATGGGGAAAATTCCCCCCCCCCTCAAGGGTCTGTGTCTATTCAGGAAAGAGAATTTGAGGTTGGAAGACATGAAGTTGACTGATACTGAATCAGACCATTGGTTGCCTAGGATCAGTATCCTCAACTCAGACTGGCAGCAGCTCTAGAATTTCCAGCAGAGTTCTTTCACATCACCTACTACCGGATCCTTTTAACTGGAGATGCTAGGGATAGAATCTGGGACCTCCTGCTTGCCAAACAGAGGCTCTGAGACATGGCCCAGGAGGTACACCTGAAAATAAATCAGTATATTTCAGTTTCATATTTCAGAAGGAGAATAAATACTGGTATTTGATGGTATTTGGTGCCTCCAAGTATTGTTTTGGGATTTGGTTTCAGGTTTTTCTGGGGTTCTGGAATCTGGGTTCCATTATTCCTTACAGGGGCTTTTTCCAGGGGGCTGGAGAGACTGTTTTTCAACCAAATGACTTCAAAACTGCAGGGGAGCTAGTGCTGCCTGTCCACGAAAAAGTAAGAGTCCAGTAGCGCCTTAACAAAATTTGTGGCAGGGTATGAGCTTTTGTGAATCACTGCTCACTTCTTCAGATACAACTAGAATGCGAGTCCATCAGTCCTATATATTGGAAAGTGGAGTGATTTTAGATGCCAAATGGCATTAGCAGGCAAATGACAATAGAAGGTGTGATTGGATTAGGTGTGATATTCAGAGCGGTAGTCGGTGTGGAGAAATCAGCACTCGTAATGAGGAAATCTAGGTCTCAAATCCAATTTCCAATATATAGGACTAATGGCTCGTATTGAGGAAATCTAGGTCTCGAATCCAATTTCCAATATATAGGACTAATGGACTCACATTCTAGCTGTATCTGAAGAAGTGAGCAGTGTTTGTTAGTCTTTAAGGTGCTACTGAACTCTTGCACTTTACCACTACTCATTTTGATCTGTCCAGTAAAGACACCCAGGTTTCAAGTTAATTGAACCAAGGTGAATTGGACTAATTCTACAGGCCCCTGAAAAAGGTGCTCTATGCTTGGGTCACCCAGGCTGGGAGCAGCCTTCCCTGGCCCGGGTGAGACTTATGTCAGCTGTGAGCCTCTGTTTGGGTCTGGGCAACATTTATCCCAGATATGAGATGCCATCCTATTGCCTGGGAAACCTGTAAAAGGGAAAAGAAGCAGGCCTGAGATCCTTAAAATGCCAGCCCTGGATATTCCTGAACACTTCCGGAAATATATTGTACCCAGCTACCAGTATTCCCGAGATTCCCAAAGACCGTTCCAGATACCCAGATATTCCCAGAAATACTGATACGGTAATTTTCAGGTATATATTCAGACCAGATATATCCAAGTGCTGGTGGCCTTCTTCCTCTGCCTTCACAATATCTTCAGAAGGGAGATAATAATTTTGGTCTAACTTGCAGGGCTGTGGTCATGAAAACAAAATACATGAAGTACTTTGGACACTGAAAGTGCTCTGCAAATGACCATCAAGTTTTCACTCCATCCTTAAAGTTTGGTTTCCTGGATTATCTAACACTAAGCTTTCAGGGACTTGATAACCAGACCAATTCCTATGTCCACCCATTCCCGTTTCCCTTTAACTGACTCTAAATTACTTTGAACATTCTATGCTCCTGGAGCACCCTAGAGCAGGGTGTGTGTGTGTGTGGGGGGGTATTTTTCTTTTGGTTAAATTACAAAATCACATTTTTCTTCATACTTGGGAAGTCCCCCAAGTACATAAAAAGTCTTACCAGGTATGTGGGTGGCCTGGTTTTATTGCTTCTGTGATTGGCATAAACCACACAGTTTATCATTAAGTGTTTAGTTACATGATCATATAAAAAGGCATCTTTTTAACAGAAGGTCCAGGGGCTACGTTTTCAATGGGGAGACTGATGAGGGCTAGATGACTTTTCCCCACTTCCTTTTTAGCCATTTTCCAACTGAAAAAGCTATCCCAATCCCATCTAGAGAAAACTCCCAGGTACCCATATTTTTCCTCCAGTGGGGGTGAAAGTGGTATGAGGGGAAGCAGCGGGGAAACAGTAGAGAAGGAAATGGTTATACGGTTCCCCTCCACCCACACCACCTATCCTGGCATCCTTCTCTTCCTTGAAAAACCAGTTGCAGCAGCTACATTTACAAAAGAAAAAAATGTATCTTAATATCATAATGGAACTAACTGTGATGTGTAGTTCTACACATAGTAATGATAATAAAGACAGTACTTCCTCTAAAATGGACGGGCTGACAGGTGGGACTTCCATGGGTGAGCCTCCTGTGAACCCATGGGGGAGAAGAAAGAAGCCCTTTGGTGGGGGGTGGAATGAGAGGAAAGTGTGGCAGGAGAGGCTGTAGCGGCCTCACTTTGTGGAGCAGTCAAGGAAGCAGTTCTGAGTTCTGTGAGGGAGAAAGGGAGCTAATAAACATTTTAAATAAATAAATAAAGGAATTCCCTAGTGTCAGCCAAATTGCCTTATTCACGGCCTTACTAGTTTGCTTCTTTTTCAGAACTGCACTGCACTTACCTTATTGACAGGAATGATGTTTTTCACATTAAAGTAGAATCCAAAATAAACCATATTAAAAACTCCATGGCGTCCCAGGGTGGCAGGTAACCCTTTGTTGAGCCCCTGGAGTCCGAACCCATTGGCTTGAATAATCTGCTGAGCTTTGGCAAAAGAGGATGGTTGCTGTATGAACAAAGCAAAATGCACAAGGTGCTTATATACACACACACACACAATTTACAAACTTATTTCAAAATGAGAACTAGTAGAGTGTCAGACTAGGATCTGGGAGACCCAGGTTTGAATCCCTACTTTGCCTCGAAAAGGACAGTGACCTTGGGCCAGATGCTAGGGTGGTCAATAGGCCTAGAGGAAATGTTCTGTCCCTTTAATAGAAGCTTACTGTGTGGAAATGAGCAATTGAAGCTTTTCACGGCATCGAGGCAGAGAACATCACCAGGTAAATAACATCCTATTAAGCCTCTATTAAAAGGACAGGACATTTTTCGCCTGGCATTTTGGCAAACCTACCAATCACTGTCTCTCCACTTAAACTACCTCATAGGGTTGTTGTGAGGGTAAATGGAGGGAGAGAGAATGATGTTGTAAGCTAGGCTGGGTTCTCATCAGAGAGAAAAGCAGACATAAATAAATATATGAAATCTGATGACTAACCAATATTGTGAAGACGATTGTACTCTGTATTAAAAATGGAATATTTATCAGGATATATATTTATTATTTATTTATATATTAATTCCCACAATCTCAGGAATGCAGGGTTGTGGGCGATGTACATCACTCATAAAAACATCAAGGTAAAACAGTTAAAACATTAATAAGCTATTTCAAACAAAAAGATGGTATATATCAGCTTGTCCCATTACAGACTGCAGACCACTTCATGGGCGGGGGGGGGAGGGTAAAACAAATATGGAAAGTAGCTGGGGCACAAAGGGTGCCAGTTATGATGGAAACCTTTGCTGACCTCAACCAAAGGCCTTGCGGAACATCTCTGCCTTACAGGCCCTGCAGAATTGCATAAGGTCCAGCAGGGCCCTGATGGTATTTGGCAGATGGTTCCACCTGGTTGGGGCCAGGACCGAAAAGGCCCCAGCCCTGGTCGAGGACAGCCAGATAGCTTGAAGAGCATAGTGCTCTTCCAGGGACATAGTGGAAGAGACGGTCCCGTAGATATGTCGGTCCCTGACCGCTCAAGGCCTTGTAGGGCAATACCAAAACCTTGAACTTGACTCAGTATTCTACTGGAAGCCAGTGTAGCTGGCACAGCACTGGATGTATATGTGCCATCTGTGGCATTCCCGTCAGGACTCACACCACTGCATTCTGGATCAGCTGGAGCTTCCGGGTCAGTTTCAAGGGCAGGCCAGCATACAGGGAGTTACAGCAGTCTAGCCTGGAGGTGACTGTTGCATGGATTACTGTGGCTAGGTCGGGTTATGACAGGAAGGGGGCCAATTGTCGAACCTGGCATGACCTGGGCCTCCATATTCAAGGCGGAATCCAAAATCACTCCCAGATTCTTGATGGACTGCACCAGTGTCAGTGGCACCCCATCAAGAGCAGGCAGCCTATATCCCAACCAGTGCTCCCTCTAAGCTGTGGAGTCTTGTATGTTAAGAGGTATCTGGAGGACACACTTTCCCCCAGCGCAACCCTCTGTCCATGAAAAGTCCTTAGACGAAGGTAGTGATTCAGCTCTAAGGCTTTATTAAAGGTTCAGAACAACTTTAGCCGGCTTGCAGGCCGGTTTATATTCCCTGAAAACCCCACACCCAAAACATCCCCCCACTCCCGTGATTGGTTATTACAGTGGCCGAGAATTCCATAGGCTCTCAGCCTGGAGCCTAGCCTTCCGATTGGAGCAGGCTAGGATCCGTGTCATCCATTGTGTGTCTGAGTGAAGCTCGGAGGTTTCACCCGACCGTGTGGAGACCTTGCCTTGAACGTGGTCTGATATGAGTACATTACAGTCCCTGATCTTGGAGAAATGAGGTAAGCCACTGAAGGGCCGGCCCCCATACTCCTATGTCGGCAAGGCGGTGGGTCAAAAGGTCATAGTTGACCATGTTGAATGCTGCTGTAAGATCTAATAATAATGGCAGCACCAACTCGTCTCAATCCAGCTGCTTGCGGAGGAAGAGGGAAAAGATGTGCTTGTAGTATTTGTCTAGTCATATTCTTTTCTCTTCTGAACTCTAGTTATCATATTTGCTTATCACAGAGAAATGATAATATTACATGAATGGGTGCAGTAGAATGCCCATCAGTTAGGGGGGTGTCCCCACAAAAGGGTCATAGTTGTTTCCACTGGTTTAATGGGAAAGGCATTTCCCATTTCCCTTGCTCATCTTCCCTTTCCCACCCCTCATCTCCATTTATGACGAAACTTTAAAGGACTGCACCCCAGGCACCATCAATTTCAGGCAGATAAAAAGAAAGTACCCTTATTTTATAGGCAATTAAAATTCTCACTTGCAGAGCAGGAATAGACAGGTGTGCATCAGTACATGAGTGAGATTTCCTTTCCTTTCTCAGGATCCTGGAGCAATGTGTGTGTCTGTGCTTGAGTGTGCAGGCTGGGGAACTAATCGGAGAACTAAATGCTTTCTATGTTCTGTTTCTTTCAACATTCTCTCCTAATCTAGCTGAGTTCATGTATTAAAAACCTAGAGAAAATGTGTTTTAAACTATGTACAACAGTAAAACAAAGAGGATGGGAGATGAAGAAGCAGGATTAAGTTCCCTTACCTGTGTGCTCTGTTATTGTTTAAAAACAGAACTCCTGCTTTATATGTGAATTGGCCATTATACATTTCACATACACACCAAGTGCAGCATTTTAAAATAAAATAAAGCTGCTTGGGAGATTTTGGACCCTACCGCTATGGTGTTTTCTGGTAAAGAGAGATGCTCTGCTCCTTCATTGTCACTAATCAATCTCACACTTCTTTAATGTGTGCTTTTGTTCTTTAAAGACATTGGGGAGGTAGAGCTGTAAGTCTCTGGGTGATTTCCCACAAGTGCTGCTCCGCGCTCACTCTTCTCTTTGGCCCGATGGTACGTGTCAATTTCACACAAGCTGCTGCGCGACCGCATTTTGCCCCGCAGCTTCATGCGATTTTCCCCGCCTCTTCTCAATCCTGTTTTTTGAGGACTGAGTAGACGCGGGGGAAATCGCACGAAGCTGCGGGGCAAAATGCGACCGCACAGCAGCTTGTGTGAAATTGACACGTACCATCAGGGCAAAAGGGAGGAGTGAGCGCACGGAGTAGCACTTGTGGGAAACCCTACCCCTGTTTCTACTTCCCCAGTCTCATCAGCCTTGCCTACCCGAAAAACATTTGCCTTGTTATTTACAGGGCAGCCAGACACACGTCTTATTGCAGGAAGTCTTTGCTTCTGTTCTCCCCACATCTTCCCTGCGCACCTGTTGGTGAGTGTAAGCACATCTTTGTCCCTGCCTAACAGCACAGCCTCAGATAACAAAACAGCTCATGCAACGACAATGACCATGCATATAGAGAATCAGAAACCCCTTCCAAATCTGGTGAGAGTACACTGAAATGCTGTTCACATAAACACTAATTGACAAAATTCTGTTTGGTGGGAAGATGGAATAATTTGTTTGGGTTGGATGTTGTTCTTGTTAGGCACATAACTGCCAACTCACTTTCTCCCCTCTGAAATCCGACTGCTAGGAAAACAAAACAATACACCAAAAGGACAGAATAAATACCACATTGGAAGAGTTTCAGTCATTTCCAAGCATGAGGAATTAATTTGCTTGGATTTGAGTCACTTAGGCATGGTACAGATGGGATCTTGATTAGAAAATTTCCAGCTGTACATCTCTACCAATAATGAGGGATGCTTCACCTGCTATATTATCACACAATCCCCTCCCCCCGATAATTGATAAGTTCAACACACAAATCATACGAATGTGGGTGGGTGTGTCTAAGTGTCTGTGAAGTAACAAAATCTATTCAAGTCATGGCTGATGTATTGATTATTTTAGAATTCAGTGCTACCAAGGGCATGCAAATATTTAACACATCTTCTTGTGGGAAGATTCAAGGCACAAAAAGAGGGAAATGGAGCTGCCCTGATCACAGCAGCTGTAAATTCTTCTGGCAAGGTGGGTTCTTAGTCAAAGGTCTATAGGGTAGGCTTGCCTAGTCCTGACTGCACCTGTTTTTTTAACGGCTAAGGAATCATTAGATACAAGCATTGCCCAGGTGATTCGGCCTGTCTTCTCATCCTCTCTTTTATATAGCAAGTATGGCTCCAGCTGCCAAAATTACTGCCATACCACAGGAGCAGAAGATAACATTCCTGTAGATTAACTCATCAGCTCCTTAGGGGAAGTGAATGCTCTGTTGGCGATACATAGTACTTACAAAGGACGTTTTGGTTGAACAACAGTAAAGCCATGTCCCACTGGGTGCTGTTTTAGCAAGAATCAAGCAAAGTTTTTTTAGGTGGAGGGATGTGCCACAGCAATTGAAGTGTCCCCATAAGACACTTGTCTATGAGTGCAGATGAACTGGCACAACGTAGTGGCTAAGAGGATGAGGTTGAGCAGTGATCCAAGAGACTCCCCACTTCCAATCTGACCTCCTCTCCCACAGTCTCAGTGTCCCCCCCCCAATAATGTGTAGCTAATAAAAGCAATAGGGAGGTAGTAAAAGAGAACTGTTCAGTAAAATATAATTATTCAAGAAGGCTCTTTTCATAAAAGGAATGAGATAGTAGTTTTAACATCTGAAAAATGCAATTTTCTCTTTGTACTGTTCATTTTATTTTACTGTTATTATTTGATAGTTTTCTAATACTGTAACCCAGTTTCATTGCACAGTTTATTGGATGTATTATACTTGTCTTTATTGCACTGATTTCAATTTCTGTAATCCATCTTTTTTTTTTTTTTGGCCCCCCGGGGGGGATTTTTTATTTCATTTTTTAATAGACTACAAACTACTATGAAAAATTGGGAAGGGGTGACTACATCTAGGGAGAAAGGAAATAAAACCACAACTAACTAAAACCCTAAGTATAGGAGATCATAACAACATCTTATATAAATGTTAATCTTAAATTGCTAGTATTACTTTGAACATAGTCGACTATGCTAATTTTTGTATCTTTTTATCCAATGT